CCCCCCCCCCCCCCCACAACGGCTAAACTTTTGACGAATTGGGCCTAAGTAATGGGTAATGTTCTGCTATGGATCCGCGTGCATAGTAATTATATTTTATGGATATTCGAGAAAAAGCAAAATCTTGGTGTGTGGCTCCATGCTTGCTTTATCTTTATGGATATTCGAAGAGATCAAATTCTTGGTTCGTGGCTTCATGCATACTTCATGTTAATTCCAATTAAATAAATAGATTCAAAATATCCAAGCATTTAATGTGATGTGTCAGTTACCCAATTATATATACTACTTATACCCCCAAACATTTCATTACAATCCCATCTCCAAAAATTTCCACTTCTTACAAATATATGTCTCAAAAAAATTCAAACAGTATGTCGAATGGCCTTGGCGATATTGACAATAGTTGCACCACTTGGATCCTTAGGTTACGAGCCGTTCGTATCTACTTTGTTCCAGCTTGGGCAAAAAGAGGAGATTCAATGGAAATGATCTTTCATGATTAACATGTATAGTATTCACAATTTTTTTACATTTAGTTATTTATCCACATGCATTCCGTAATGTTGGATCATATACTTTGTTTTCAGGGTACGAGGATTCATGTTCATCTCAACAAACCTGAAAAAAGCGCTTAGAAACTCAAATCGTGGAAGATGGAATTTTTGGAATTAGAAATGTCTTTGTTCATGATAACTACCAATGGAACAAAGAGTATAGACCAATCATCAAGTTTGTGCAATGGGACAAGGTTGATAGTTACTCGTCTCGGCAATCATCTTATTTAATGTACAGTGCTGACAGGGAAAAATAGTCAAGAAGGTGTTATTCTACGGTTGTTGCTTACACCATCAGATACGAGAACTCTTTTTAAGTTTCAAAGAAAACAATTCTCAATTATGATTTCATATGCAATGACGATTAATAAAAGTTAAGGTTAATCTTTGTCGCATGTTGGGCTTTTACTCAAAAATCTGTATTCAGTCATGGCTAACTTTATGTGGAAATTTCACGTGTCACAAATTGTAAGGGATTAAAGATTTTTATTTGCAATGAAGACTCTGCATCGTCAAGCTAAACTACAGATATAGTTTATAAAGAAGTTTTTCAAAACTTGTAATATAATACTACAGATACATGTTTTGTATTATTGTATATTTCCCTTTCTTTAATATTTGATTTTATATATTATGTTAATTTATTTTTATCATTTTCTTCATCAATATTTTCCCTTATTATTTAGTTTATATTTAGGTCGTGGGCAAGTCTAGTCATGAAAAATGCCCCAAATGGACTTGAACCACTACATATATTTTCATAGGTTCCTCTCATAAAACCAGCTCTTAGTCTTTTGTCCTATTTGGGCTACTAAAAATGTTTGGAGTACACACAAACTCACTTCAATCTCTTTATCAAGACTTATTTTTATTTTTCCCAAACAACACATCTTTTTCGATAGAGGAATGGTAGAGTTTCAAACAAAAAGCTACAATATACGGAGTACATAAACTGGTCATTGGTGCATTTAAATTTTAAATTCTTTTTTTAGTAGACACCATTTATTCTTTTAATGAGATTTACAAATAACATATCAAATTTTTAAATTTTGTGATTATTTTATTTGTGTCTCTAATTTTCTCTTTTTGATATACTCAATTTCCTGTAAAAAAGAGCATATATGTCCTTTATCCATTCATCGAAAAATGATTTCTTTTTTTCACTTTTATTTTTTTGTGTCTAATATGTATCACTTTTAACTATATAAGTTTGTTTTTCTTAATTTTTTGCTAAGATGATTTTACGAGACATAGAGAGAAGTAGAGGTGTAAAGAGATATTAATTAGATTAGATGTGTCATTACCAGATCCGTATATGTTTATTTTTATCGGATATCATATTCAGATACAAATCATGACGGATACTAAAGATCAAAACTGTATCCGCATTCGCCAGATAATGGTCGGATATCGGATATATCCATATTGGATTCCAATATTTAAAGTTAAATTGAACAATACTTGACTTTCCAATTAAACTAAATTCAAAATATTATCCATTCCATTGTAATTTGATATGGATAATTATTTTCTTATTTTTTGTAATTTTTACCGTACTTCGTAATATTCTACGATAGCTCCATATGGTAAAAAAATATACACACTACTCAGAAAAAATATGTTTATGTGTCTACACATACATTTTGCATATAAAATATCTTATACTTTGATATGTCAATAGAAAAATAAAAAATTGGGAAGAACTATATATAACGGATCAGATATAGGAACAAGCGTTTACCCAAGTGAGTGTATGCGAAACGGATTATAAATAGATCGGATGTATGATACGGAATATATAAATTCACATGCATTTACAAATCAGGTATGAAGAATAACCATTTTTGACATATGCAGATACTTTCTACTTTCTATATAAATGAATATGAATGCAAACGGTAATTAAAATTTTGGTTGGGGAGAGAAATAGGAAACAAAGCTCATTTTGGGTAAGTTGGCGTTTGTTTCATTGTCGTAAGTCACAAGTCGCGAGGATGTCAGATTTGTATTGTCGGTCGGCCGTTATATAGTTGCGCGATGACTTTTAAGGACACATGGCTCCCAGTCTGAAAGAGAACTAACGTCGTCATGCAAACTCACACTTTGACCAGATTCCTTTGATAATTCAATCCAGAACTAACAAACAAACAAACAAAAGACTACCTCCCATTTTTTCATCGCTTCATTTTCAACTCAGTTGGTGCTTTGGAATGTGTGGGAACGTGAAATCACAAACAGCGGTGGGGTTAAAACTTAAATCTTACTAGAGTAAAAAAATCCTAGCTCCCCACACTAAGTGCCTGTTCTTTAGGGCTTGAACTCTTAACTTCCAGTTTCTACTAATTCCTTCCAGTTTTTCTAGTTTTTTCCAGTTTCTTCCAGTTCCTTTCAGTTCCTTCTAGTTTCTTTCAACTTTTCTCATTTTCTTCAAATTCTTTCTACTCCTCAACCAATTACTCTAAAAATGATATATTTTAATGTGATTATTATTATTATTATTACAACTTTTATATTCATAACTATAATTCATAAATTATTTTTTCATCTCACTATTTTTGCGATTCACACTTATATTATTATTATTTCAGCATTTTAATATGAATAAGACATTCTTTTGTATATTAGTCTACATGATAAAACAGGAAAACATCAATATGTTAAATTATA